CAGGCTGAAACGAACGGGGCCTGTAAGCCCTAAGTCTTAGGCTTTTAGGCTGAATGTCCGGGACGGGCCCTGCAGGGCCCGTGTGGCTACGCAGTATGCCACACACACGCACACACACACGCTCACACACTGACAATTTGTGGATCGAATGAGAGACTGAGTTCGGGTCTTTTCGAAAACACACACACACACACACACACACACACACACACACACACACACACACACACACACACACACACACACACAATCAAATGATCTCATAGTGCTACAGAGAGGCCACTGTGCGTACTATATGTCATTGTTGTATGTCTCCTCACTTACAATTGCAACCCCCATACTGCTTCTGATTTTGCAGACATTGTCCGCTGGATAGAAGAGGAGCAGTGTGGTGTATGCCCAAAGGATGGCAGTACTGAACATAACATAGAACTTAGAAGTCCTGTCTATGGCATTTACAGGAAGACAACTGCAACTGCAGCCCACTTCGCAGAATTGCACACCAGACATGGACCCGAATATTTGTCCGTACATCCGGCCGTCCGGGTCATTTCAGTGCTGTTGCCTTTGCAGATAATTCGTGACCCTGCGGGGCAATGACGGTATGGTGCGCACACACAGTGGGAAACCTTAACTCTTTCTATCATGAGGTGGAAGAATCCCACTACAGTCTTCCCCTGAATACAACGTACGGTCATTATAGCTGAATTTGGGGCATCTTTCAGTCTAAATACAGCTATAATGACCGTACATTGTATTTGGGGGAAGAAGGTAGGTCAATCAGGAACAGTACGTGGATGTGCACTCGCAAGCTCTACCTACAACCTCCGAAAAACACATTTGACATTTCTCTCTCACCATCGATCTATCTGTGTAACAAATATGGTGTTTTTGTTTTTTGTTTTTTTTTTTACAGCTGTTCTTTTTCTAAGAAGGCAGAGGAAAGTTTAGAGAACAGGAGAACGGGAAATTACCAGGGAGTTATTCGCCGAATGTGGCCCGAAGGTTAAAGTGACCACCCCCTTTTCCATGAGGGCCGCCGCCAACTCTCCATAGCCACCATTAATATCCAGTGCTATCCTGTTTGCAGGAGAATCGAGGTGCCAAAAAAAAAAAAAAAAAGCGAAGAAAGGGGAGAGCCAACACAAGTCGACAGGTGAACATGCACATGCAAACAACAATTCCCCCGGAATAAGAAAAGTTAGAAAACTAAATCATATTTTGTTAGAACTTAGAAGTATTCAGAAACTTTTTTTCTTTTTTTTTTAATAATAAGAAGAAAAGTCACCAGCCACCGAGAGGGCTGCACGCCCCTGGAGAGTGACCTTGCTAGGACCTGGGCTGCACGCCCCTGGAGAGTGACCTTGCTAGTACCTGGGCTGCACGCCCTCGTCATGTGACTGCACTGGGAGAAAAGAGCTGGTAACATCCATTGCAGCAGGCGTACAATGGCGTCGAAAACACTGGGCTGCATGCCCTCATCTGGTCATAATTGGTGCATGCACAGGGAGCATTTCATTTCAAACCTTCTTTTGTGAGTAGCTGTTTTTGTTTAAAATCTAGTGGCCTGGGACCACTTGCCCAGACGGGCCGCTGTCCCTAGAAGACCAAAAGCTTAGATTGCTTTGGGTCTCCCTCTGTTAATAGAAGACCATGGTTGCCCCGGGCCCGTACATCCAGACACCGGACACCGGGCCCGGACCTGTGTCTGGATTAATCGGGACGTCCGGTAATCCGGACACCAATCCGGACAACCGGACATACGGACCCGGACGGTTCGGTTATGAATGAACAGGTCTGGATGTCCCAAAAAAAAAAAAAAAAAAGCACGGACACATGCTGTTGTAGACTTGTAGTTGTATTATCCTACTTATCTTGAGCACACTCACATACACACACAGTGTCACACACACACACACACACACACACACACACACACACACACACACACACACACACACACACATACACAACCAGTTCTCCTTGGCCCGCTGACGCTCACCCAAGATTGCAAGTACAGGCCCCTCAGGGCCGGTCCGAATGGCCCAACGGTCCACCAAAAACTGCACCAACAATTTTCGGGGGGTCCACCAGGCACTGGAAAATCGCCTGGAGACCCCCAAAAAAAATTCCAAATTTTCTAGAAATGGGGCCCAACTGAACCCCCCAAACCAGACACCGGATCCGGGCATCCAGACCGGACCATCTGGATCCCGATCCGGACGTCCAGTTAACAACCATGCAGAAGACCTTCGGTCTTTTCTCTGTTGTCCTAGACTACCAGAGTGGCCCGGGACCACTTGCCCGGCCAGGCTTGAAAATTTTATAAAAATAAAAATAAACCATTTTTTTTCTTTTTGCTAGGGCCTTTGGTCCTTGCACGGCCGGCCGCCCAGGCAAACAAGGTGACCCCAGCGGCCTGCGGCTCGTAGCCTAGCCATTGCCTCTTTTGATGCCATAGTTGGCCCTTGAAAGACCCTGTGGCAACTGCTGCTTCACTGGTTTTTAAGTTTTGGTTTTTAAGTTTTTAACTACTTCGTCTTTTTTCTACCTTGGACAAACTGTGGCTTTTATCATAGCGTTTTGATCTTTGCATGGGTCTTCCTTTTCTAGGCCAACATGGGTCTTCCTTATCTAGGCCAACCTTTGGTTTTTAACCCACCAGTACATGGCCCAGCTATCTAAAATTTAGGAGGCTGAGTGCCGCAGATAAAATGAATCGGCCAGTGGCCGATAGCTGGCATGTACTGGTGCTTTACTCCCAAATCAGGTCCCATACATCACTAGAGGCTTTTTCAGTCCCCTTGGTTCTGCAGAACCATCTCCTTGCCAACTGGGGACTCGGGATCCTCAACTTTCTGCTCCCAGGTTCTGTTCCTGCTGTCCTTTTTTTATAACTTAAAGCACCAGTACATGGGCACCTGGGCCGCGGGACTGACACACGTCAAAGTCTGGAGGCGTGAAATGAAAACGCGACCGCCGATCCAGTTTATCAACGGCAGGCGGGCCCAGCGTTTGACGTTTCGGCCTCGTTTTCTTGTGGCGACAAGTTTCGGACTGCAAGGCTGGGGCCGTGTACTTGTGGTTTAAACTATTGTAATTTAATTAGTTAAACGAACAGTTTATTCAAGCATCAGAGAACATGGAGTCTGAATGTGATTTATTTAATTTTATTATATATTTTTTATTTTTTTTTCCTTTAAAAAAGAAGCTATATTCTTCTCTCAATTTCACCTCACACTACCTACCTACCACTACTCCTAACTGTAGGCATACGGGGAACCCCGTAGCAGCCAGAACCGTGTTCACGAGATAACACACGGGGGCTGCTCCCGACCTGCAGGTGGGCGATACCGGCGAGGGGAGAGCCGGTAGCATCAGGGACCAGCCAACAGGACCATCATGTCCATCTGACGGCATAACCCCTCGTTTCTTTGGGGGGAAAATACAAAGGCAACCTTCGTATTGTTGAGTTGAACAGAACTTGATGTTCACTCTAATTATGTACTGCCGTCTTCACCCGAGTAGAACGCCCGGGCATTATAGCTGCATTTGGCACAACTTTCAGCGCAGATACGGCGATGATCACCGGGCGTTCTATTCCGGTGAACATGGTAGTCATCATCAGGTTTAGGTATCCGCTTTGAGGGAGGCGCATATGACTCTTCTTCCCTTTCTTGTTTTTTCTTTCTAAAATCCGGCCTGTCGAGTGGGAGCAAAACTTTCGAAGCGCAAAAATGTTCCTCATCAGAGTGCCTTCATGGTGTAGATGCCTTAGGCTAGGTGCATGACAGCCGTGCAGGACGTCCAGGAGTTTTTCTTCTTTTTTGTTCATCTCCTTCAATCTTGATTCGAACTCAGGTCTTCATGTTAACAATTTATGAGTGTACCAACAGAGCTAGGCCTGTCGTTTTTTTTTCCTTTTTTTGTGGTATTAGTTGGGCAATTCCAGGTGATCTACCTTACACCCCCATCCTCCCCCCCTCTCCCCCCCCTTTTCTTCTCTCAATTCACCTTTAACTACCTACCGCTACCTTCCTGCGCGCATAGCTACCCTCGTAATGCAGGGACTGCATGTTGCCCCTTGCCCCAGTGGTTTAGGGTGCAGGGTTGAGGCCGCCGGCGGGGGGCTCGGCTAACACAAGGACCGAGCATTTGCCAGTAGCCGCACCTCCGTTTTCATCTTCCCCCACCCCCATTGAGTAACAGCAGTGCCTAAGGCCAACACTCTCCGACACACCACACACAACCCACTCACATGGACACTCACACCCGTGTCGTCCGCTTGATCCCTCCGAAGGGTGGTATTAGTAGGGTCTCTGGCCAACACCCTCATTTAGTCCGACTGTGGCCAGAATACCCGCATTCATTCTGGCTGTGCCCAGAATAACACAAACTTAGAAAGGGAATTTCTGAAAGTCACCCTTTCCATTTTCCTGTTTGTTCTCTTTTTAGCAAGTTTTTACTAGTTTTACGAGGTGTCCAGCACCGCACACTGCAAAGTTGCAAACCAATCAGAAGATCATGAAACAGCTTCTCCCCTTCGGTGCAAGACAAAATTTTCTTGCTTCGCCCCATATCATTCCCGTTAAAGTACATATTGCACTGCCACGTAGACCTCTCCCCATGGCGGAGAATAAAATGAAGAAGATATGAGAAAAACGCCATGCCAATGGTGCAATGTTATTGGTCGGGTAACTAGTGGACATCCCTGAAGAGTGTTTTGTTGATGTTATGTGAATGTCTATGTGTTTGTGTGTGTGTGTGTGTGTGTGTAGCATGTGTGTGCGTGCGTGTGTGTGTGTGTGTGTGTGTGTGTGTGTGAGAGAGAG